AGCAGCAGCAACAGCAGCAGCAGCTTGTTCCTGTATATGCGCTGTCTCACACATACCGCATCTGCCGCTGCCCTCCAGGCAGCAAAAATGCCTGCCGCTGCCGTGCGGCGCCAGACAGCAGCAGCAGCAGCAGCAGCAGCAGGAACAGCAAAAGCGACACCTGCAGCAACCCTACAGAGGTTAAAGTGCACAAAGAGGAACTGGTGTTCATTGCTGTTGCTGCTGCTGCTGCTGCTGCGGGGCTGCTGCTGCACCGCTTGGGAGCCCTTCAGGCTCTAGGAAGACTATTGTGACAGGCGAAGAGCAGCAGCAGCAGCAGCAGCAGCAGCAGGCTATTGGCAGCAGAAAGTGCTGCTTGTGAAGTGCTGCAGTGTGTTTGTTGCTGCTTCTCCTGTGGAGTGCACAGACAGACCTGCTGCTGCTGCTGCTGCACTTTGCAGCAACTGCAGCAGCAGCTCCGGGTAAATCGTTTTTGTGTGTCTCGTGGGGTGTAAGTACAGTCAAGACCTGACAGCGCGCCCCTGCTGCTGCTTAGATCCGAGCAGCAGCAGCAGCAGCAGCAAGAGCAGCAGTAGCAGCAGCAAAACTGAACATAAAAATGAGTCAGCTCTGAGCAAGCGTCTTGGCGTGCAGTCCCCAAAGACAAATATGTCTTGTTATTCCTATTCATTTAAATTGGTTCATTTAAATTAATTAATTGAATTAAATTAAATTGATTTTACTAAATCAATCAAATTGAATTAATTAAATTAAATAAAAAGAAAAGCCTCTAGGCAGCAAAGAGGTGCTTCTGGCCATAGCGGCGCTGTCGGCACACCCCAAGCAAAGCAGCAGCAGCAGCAGCTGCTGCCGCTGCAGCAGCTGCCGCTGCAGCAGCTGCCGCTGCAGCAGCTGCTGCTGCAGCAGCTTCTGCTGCAGCAGCTTCTGCTGCAGCAGCAGCTGCTGCTGCAGCAGCTGCAGCAACGACCTGCTGCAGCGATGCAAAAGGGCAAATGCGACAGCGCGAAGGAAAGAAGAGGCGAACACGAATACGCCTCGAGACAGTGCTGCTGCTGCTGCTGCTGCTGCTGCCGTTACTGCTGCTGCTGCTGCGTCTCAGTAGGTTCCTGGCTGCTACTGCTTCCTCTCTGCTGCGGCGGCTCTTCATCTGGCTGCCCGCGTGCAATGTTGGCGGCCACTTATTACTTAGGGTTTAGGGTTTAGGGTTTGTGTTTGCTGCTCTCTGCTTCTCGCCCTTTCTAGCCTCTTCACAGAGACTCCTTCTAGCAGCAGCACAAAAGCCTCTGCTGCAGCAGCAGCAGAAGCAGCAGCAGCGATCCCCGCTGCTGCTGCTGTCTTGCTGCGTTGCTGCTGCCGCCGCTGTCTGCGGCACTCACTGCTGGCCCCAGTAAACCCTAAACCCTAAACCCTAAACCTATTACCTAACGGCTAAAGGCGCTGCTGCTGCTGCTCACGGCCCTCGGCAGCTAAACCCTAAGCAGCAAACCCTAACCACTAAATCCTAAACCCTCGACTTGTGGGGTCGGTGTTTGGGCGCCGGGTAGGGGGCCTAGGGTTTAGGGTTTAGGGTTTAGCGCTTAGGGTTTAGGCGTGTGCAGTCTCTTTTTTTGCTGCAATTGCGCTTTAGACGTAAATGGAGATTTAAATGCAGAAAGTTGCTGCTGCAGCGGCTGCTGCGGCGCCAGCAGCAGCCGCAGGACACCAGCAGCAGCAGCAGGAGCTGCAGCCGCTGAGCGGCAGCAGAAGCAGCAGCAGCAGACGACCCGCAGAGCAGCAGCAGGAACAACAATACTTATATTTGCTGCTTTTCTCCTGGGCCCTTTACATTTGTCACTCTGCATTTGCTGCCAGCGACCTCTGCTGCAGTGTACATACACCTGGAGCCTGCTGCTGCTGCTGTTGCTGCTGCGGCGACTGCAGCAGCAGCAACTGCAGCAGACCCGAAACAGGTACTCCTGCGGACGAACGGCATTAATCGTAAGTCCTCTGCTGCTGCTGCTGCAGCTGAGCCTGCCCCTGCTGCCTGCGCTGCTGCTGCAGCGTCTGCTGCTGCCGCTGCTGCTCTCCCGCCGCATGCAAGCTGAGGCTCGGCCGGTCGACTGCTGCAGCAGCGCTGTGCAGCAGCAGCTGCAGCAGCAGCAGTTGATTCGCTCTTGTAGGATGGCCGCAGTTGGAGGCCCAGATGTGGCATGAGGGACTCGCTGCAGCAGGAACAGCAGCACCAGCAGCAACCGCAGCAGCGGCAGCAGAATGGCCCCATCAAATAGTTCCTACTCTGCCTCGGGCAGAGGGGGGGGCAGCAGCAGGGGAGGGGGTCGCCCCTACGGCCGTTCTGCTGCCAGCAGCAGTCCAGCAGCAGCAGCAGCAGCAGCAGGAATAGCAGCAGCAGCAGCAGGCGGTCCTGCGGCGTCTGGCACGGGCAGCAGCAGCGCGCGCAACGACAGCAGCCTGGCTGCTTCGCGGGGCGGCCGAGGCAGCAACAGCAACAGCAGCAGCAGCAGCTCGGTGCCGAGCAGCAGCGGCAGCAGCAACAACAGCAACGCGGCCGCTTCTCCCCACAGCAGCACGAGCAGCAGCAGCAGCAGCAGCAGCAAGAAGTGTCAAGTGCCTGCCGCAGCAGCAGCAGCAGCGCCCCCTGCGGCGAGCGCGGCAGTGGAGGGCGCGTCCGAAAGCGCTCCGGGGGCCGCAGCAGCAGCAGCAGCAGCAGCAGCAGCAGGGGAGCAGCAGTTCGAAACGCGGGAACAGGCGCTGCAGCGGCACCGCAGCAACTTCGGACTTTTGGGAATTTTAAAAGTCATCAAAACAGCAGATCCGGACTTGAGCGTTTTGGCCTTGGGGACGGACTTGACCAGCCTCGGCTACAACTTAAACTCCACAGAGTAAGCAGCAGCAGCAGCAGCAGCAGCAGCAGCAGCAGCGGCAGCAGCGGCAGCGGCGGGCGCGGGGGCAGCAGCGGCGGCGACCACCGGCAACGGCTAGTGCGCGCGGCGGCGGGGCCGGGAGCCAGCAGCAGCAAATGGCACACTTAGCAGCAGCAGCAAAGGACTGTCTTAGCTGCTGCAGCAGCAGCAGCAGCAGCACACGACACACTCAGCAGCAACAGCAATGGCACGCTTAGCAGCAGCAAGTGACACTCTTAGCAGCAGCAGCAAATAGCTGGCTTAGCTGCGGCAGCAAATAGCTGGCTTAACTGCAGCAGCAAAGTCGCAGCAACAGCAGCAGCACACAACACACATTTAGCAGCAACAGCAAATGGCACACTTAGCAGCAGCAGCACACTTAGCAACAGCAGCAAATGACACAGCAGCAGCAGCAAATGACACACTCGGCAGCAGCAACAAATGACACACTCAGCAGCAGCAGATTTCTTGGCTGCAGCAGCAAATAGCACACTCGCCAGCAGCAGCAAATGGCACACTCGCCAGCAGCAGCAAATGGCACACTCGCCAGCAGCAGCAAATGACACACTTGGCAGCAGCAGCAAATGGCACACTCGCCAGCAGCAGCAAATGGCACACTCGCCAGCAGCAGCAAATGACACACTTGGCAGCAGCAGCAAATGGCACACTCGCCAGCAGCAGCAAATGACACACTTGGCAGCAGCAGCAAATGGCACACTTAGCAGCAGCAGCAAATGACACACTCAGCAGCAGCAGCAAACGGCGCACTTACAGATGACACACTTAGCAGCAGCAGCGAATGACAGGCGTAGCAGCAGAACAAATATTAGCCCTAGCAGCAGCAGCAAATAACAGCCCTAGCAGCAGCAGCAAATAACAAGCCCAGCAACAGCAGCAGCAGTTAACGGCCTTAGCAGCAGCAGCAAACAACAGCCCTAGCAGCAGCAAATAACGGCCTTAGCAGCAGCAGCAGCAGACAACAGCCCCAGCAGCAGCAGCAAATGACACCCTAGGCAGCAGGAAGCAGCAGCAGCAAAACAATAATGGCAAAGATGAAGTAAACAAAAAGGAATTAAAGGTAGCTGCAGCAGACGAAGTTTTTATTTTTATCTTTTTAGCTTGTCTCTATTTTATTTATTATTGTTTATTTCATTTTGCCATTTTAGATTATTATTTAGACTTTAGTTTCGCACTGCTTTGTTGCTGCTGCTGCAGCAGCAGCTGCTGCAGCAGAGCTTCAGCCTTGCTTCGCGTTTTGCTGCTGCCCTCGGGCCTCATTGCCATTCCCCAGCCGCTCTAAACCCTAAACCCTCAAGTCTAAACCCTAGCTCTAAACCCTAAACCC